GGCAATTCTGGGCAATAAAGACAAGGCAGGAGGCATTACAAGTCCTGATTTGAAATTATACTACAATCTATTGTGATAAAATCAATATGGTACCAGCAACAAAATAGACCTGAGGATCAATGGAATAGATTAGAAGACACTGAAGCCCTTATGAGCACACTCAGCCACCTTATTTTTGACAAAGAGGCCAAACATACTCACTGGAAGAAAGATAGCCTCTTTAACAAATGGTGCTGGAAAAACTGGCTCTCTCCATGCCGAAATCTCAAACTTGACCCAGGTCTATCACCATGCACTAAATTAAACTCAAAATTGATTAAAGATCTAAACATTGAAGTAGAGACACTAAATCTCCTAGAAGAGAAAGTGCGAGGAACTCTTGAAGACATAGAGGTAGGCAAAGAGTTCATGAACAGAAGTCAAATCACACGGGAAACAGCTGAAAGAATTAACAACTGGGACCTGATGTTACTGAGAAGTTTTTTCACATCAAAAGAAATTACCTACAAAGTGAAAATGCAACCCACAAATGTGGAAAAAATCATGACAAATAGGTACTCAGACAAAGGTGTACTCTCTAGAATCTAGAAAGAACTAAAAAACACTAGGACTCCAAAATTTAAAGATCCAATCCAGATATGGGCATCCGAGATGATCGCATGCTTCTCAGAGGAAGAAATTGAAGAAGCGAATAAATATATGAAAAAGTTCTCCACATCACTAGCCATTCACGAAATGCATATTAAAACAACATTGAGATATCATCTCACCCCAGAAAGAATGGCTATCATAATGAAATCAGCCAACAACAAATGTTGGAGAGGCTTTGGGGAAAAAGGAACCTTTCTCCACTACTGGTGGGAGTGTAGACTGGTGCAAGAGTTATGGAAATCAGTATGCAGACTCTTTAGAAAAGTTGGACTGGAAATCCCATTTGAACCAGCTATTCCTCTACTTGGAATTTTCCCAGAGGATCTGAAAACATCATATCATAAGGATATATGTGTGCCCATGTTTATAGCAGCACAATTTGTGATAGCCAAATCTTGGAAACAACCAAGATGCCCCTCACCTGAGGAATGGTTGAAAAAATGTGGTAGTTTTACACAATGGAGTATTATTCAGTGATTAATAATGATAAACTCGAAGTCTTTATATTGAAGTGGATGCTATTTGAACATGTACTCATAAGTGAAATAAACCAGACACACGTGTGTAAATATCGTATATTTTCCCTAGTATAAGAACTCAAAAGAAGAAATACAAATAGAAAGGTATAATACAAGTAAAAGGAAAGCAGGATCTCAGGGAGTAACTAATCAAGAGAGGGAAAGGAGAAGAGCTAGGAAACATGAATAAGTCAAGCCATACAGTTATATGTAGAAG